CAGACCCAACCAAGTAAACACAGAGACTTATATTGCTTACAAACTGTATGGCCATGGCAGGCTTCTTGCTAACTGTTCTTATAGCTTAAATTAACCCATTTCTATAAATCTATACCTTGCCACGTGGCTCCTGGCTTACCGGCATCTTCACAAGCTGCTTGTCATGACGGTGGCTGGCAGTGACTCCTTCTGCTTTCCTGTTCTTTCTTTTTCCTCTCTGTTAGTCCCGCCTATACTTCCTGCCTAGCCACTGGACAATCAGTGTTTTATTTATTGACCCATCAGAGTAATTTGACATACAGATCATCCCCCAGCAACAGTTGGTTTATTTGGGCTCACGTTTTTTCTTTTATTTTTTAATATACATACATATATATATATATATATATATACATATATATATATATATATTTTCTCTGTCTCTCTGTCTCTGTCTGTCTGTCTGTCTGTCTGTCTGTCTCTCTCTCTCTCTCTCCCCTTCCTCTCTCTCTATATGTTTCTGTGTTTTTGTGTGTGGTGGGGCTTGTGGTTTACAGATCTGTGATTCAAAGGAAAAGTAGAGCAGGGGAGGTATAGTGAGAGGCTGATCCCCCATTCACCAGCAAATTCTCTGGCATTTCTGGTTTGTGGTAAATTAAGAAAATGAAGGATGCTGTGGGACTTCTGTTTCAGTCTTGAGGAAGAAAACTGTCTTCTGTATTTTGAAAACTGTCTGTTTCATTCTTTCATTTTTATTCCTTTCTTCCCTCTTCCCTTACTTTAATTTTTCTTTGCTCACTTGTTTGTTTCAGTAAAAGAATATTGGGTATCCTAGAGAACTATTCATACAAAGCAACGAAGCAAGTTCATGAGGAATTAGATGTTTTTCAGGTAAGCCAAGTATTCCCATAACTGAAACCATTTTCTTTCTTTTCCCTTGCCACAACTCCCAGTTCTTTGAGAGAAGTTAGCCAAGACTGGAAATCTGTCATACCATTTTATTTGGTTTTGTATATACTTGAGATTTTCCATTATAAACACTTTGAATTTAAATTAAAAAAATAGTAAAGAAAGAAAGCAAGAAAAGCTACATATGTGGGTAAATAGACAAATAACTTTTAGGAGCCAAATTGGTCTTTACTGGGGATATTTAAAGTAAGAGTTTCATATAACCTGATTAAAAGTGAAAGATGGCCTCAAGGGCCGGCGGTGGAGCCTCGCGAAGGTTCCAGAGTCGTCGCGTGCGGAGGGCGGGACGCGGAGTCACGCCGGGTCGGTGTATTTAGCTGCTGGCGCTGCGTCGCTCTCGGGTAGCGTGTTCCGCCTCCGGTGCAGCTCCGGCCTCGGGCCCGTCCGCCGCACCATGGCTTCCACTTTGGAGGAGTTGCAGAAAGACCTAGAAGAGGTCAAAGTGTTGCTGGAAAAGACCACTAGGAAGAGAGTGCGTGATACTCTTACAAGTGAAAAATCCAAGATTGAGACAGAAATGAAGAACAAGATGCAGCAGAAATCACAGAAGAAACCAGAACTTGATAATGAAAAGCCAGCTGCTGTGGTTGCTCCTCTTACAACAGGATACACTGTGAAAATCAGTAATTATGGATGGGATCAGTCAGATAAGTTTGTGAAAATCTACATTACCTTAACTGGAGTTCATCAGGTTCCCACTGAGAATGTGCAGGTACACTTCACAGAGAGGTCATTTGATCTTTTGGTAAAAAATCTCAATGGCAAGAATTACTCCATGATTGTGAACAATCTTTTGAAACCCATCTCTGTGGAAAGCAGCTCAAAAAAAGTCAAGACTGATACAGTAATCATCTTATGTAGAAAGAAAGCAGAAAACACACGATGGGACTACTTAACTCAGGTGGAAAAAGAATGCAAAGAGAAAGAAAAGCCTTCCTACGACGCTGAAACAGATCCCAGTGAGGGATTAATGAATGTTCTAAAGAAAATTTATGAAGATGGAGATGATGACATGAAGCGAACCATTAATAAAGCGTGGGTGGAATCTAGAGAGAAGCAAGCCAGAGAAGACACGGAATTTTGAGACTTTTAAGTCCCTTGGGAACTGTGATGTGGAACGCTCATGTTCCCAGTAAGGGAATATTGTTGAATTGCACATAAAATGACAGATAACTATTTACACAGCCTTCTAAGTAAAGACAGCAAATTCTCCATTTCTTACTGGAGGATTTGATTTAAGTAAATATGCTTATTAAACATTTCCTTCATTAGCATCATTGTCATTTTGTTTAAGAAAAGGTTTTACATTTACTGAAATGTAAAAAAGAAATTTACATAATGAAAATGTTACTTTTGTTCTGGCTGAGAGGTAAAAACCAAAATATTGGCCTATAACTTACATCATCTCCCACTACTGTAAAAATAAAACCAAACTTTTGCATAAGATTCAAATTTGTACACAAACTTGCAAGTTACAATATACCTGTTACCCGTTATTACCAGCTTAAACAATGAGTGCCATGCGCTACCATGTATACTAATTGTTTTAAGTACACTTATGAATATAAAATTTAAACAAAATACAAATGACAAAAACAGACAAACATCTTACGTTGTAAGTACTGCCGTGGAGCGGCTGGCTTATAAAAATAAAACCATGATGCAACAGTTTGAAAATTCATCTGTTCAATAAAGTTCAAGTTTTACGTTAAAAAAAAAAAAGTGAAAGATGTTGTGAAAATCCTAATGCACTGAATACAAATGAAATCTTTGTTTAATGTACATCTGGAAGGAGAGAGGGTTGAGAATTTTCTGTGGAGCCAAACTCTAAGGGATATTGAATATGCTGTCACCAGAAACTATGGAGGACCCCATATTAAGCACCATTTGTTAACAGGAAAATTGGAAGTTACTTCTTGGCTTGTCTTAATAATAAAGAAAATTTAAAACTCAAAAAAAAAAAAAAGAAAAAAGAAAAAAGAAAAACAACAACCCCCCAAACAAAAACCGTGAAGCCCAATATTATTAGAATTTGGGAGAAAATGACAAGAGAGACAAATTGTAATCTGGGAAGCCACAGGGGGTGTCTTGCGATGGAAAGTGACATGGAGAAGAGGAGAAAAGGCCTGTTAAGTTAGTTGACCACAGGGGGTGTCTTGCGATGGAAAGTGACATGGAGAAGAGGAGAAAAGGCCTGTTAAGTTAGTTGACCACACTTACTCAACCATGAAGATCATCAATAAGGAGCGACAGCAAGCAGCCAGGTGGGTTCAGAGAAAAAGGGAAAGAGTCTGGCTTTGGCCAGGATCTTAAAGAGAAAGGGATTCAGAACATGGTGAAACTAAGATCTTCTGATTTAGAACTCAGAAAAGCCAGTGAGCTTCACAGACTGCTGGCTGCTGCTCCACAGGTGACCACAGAGTGGAGTTTCAGGGAAGGAAAAACACAGTGGCTCCCTAAAGAAATCTTCCTCCTGCCACCTCTTTAGCATGGCTTTAGATGAACCAGCCTTCCTGAGGGGTGGTCTCTTGGCCAGGTGAGTGACAGGCCCAGCAGGGACTCTTATGACAGGACACAATGGTGTGTCATGTCTATGCAGGAAAAGAGGCAGATGCCATTCTTTTTCCAGGAGGAAATAGAGCACAGTGTCAATCTTCCATGGCCTCAAAGGCTACTGTAACATTCCCTGCTCACTAGACCCAAAAGTCATTTAAATTATGGGCTAACCCTGAGGAATTGATACAGTGTATTTCTGCTAGGAAATTTTTAAAACTGTTCAGCAGACATGCTTAGTTTAGTGTCAGTTAGAAACTCATGCACAGTAAACAGGCAGGGAGTACCTCTAAGATATAAGAAACCAGAGCTCCTTCTGGCATTTCTGAATAGGACAGAAACAAAGTTTCCTACTTCTACCCAAAAAGAATTGGAATTTTCCACCTTTGGGATTTCTGCTTCTAAATCTGTTCAGCCTATGTGATGGCTATTCTTGGTTGTCAACTTGACTATATCTGGAATTAAGTAAAACTCCAAAAATGGAGAGCACAACTGTGAGGGAATTTTGCTTAATTTGGAGTAGGAAGATTCATTTCTAATCTGGATCACTGAGGTAGGAAGCCTTTAATCCAGGTCATTTGAGTTGTGAAAACCCACCTCTAATCTGGGCCACACCTTCTGTTGGAAGCCTTCAATGGCTATTCTTGGTTGTCAACTTGACTGAATTTGGAATGAACTGCAATCTAGAAATGGAGGTCATGCCTGTGAGATTTTTTACTTGTTTGTATGCCAATCTGATAATTAGAGAAAGTTTAGCTATGGTCAGAAATAACATTCAGGGAAGAGAAAGGAAAGAAACATCAAGAATCTAAGAACTGTTACCAAACTTTGTTCTCCTGGGCTACTTAAGGCCATTGTGGCAGCTACTCCTTTTGCTCCCATCTCTCATTGTAGGACCCTGTTTACTCAACTGTCTATTCAGCTGTATAACACAGAATAAATTCTGTTGAAACATGGTGCCAAGGAGACAAAATAATTCTCTGCACCCAGGTGAATCCATGATTTGACTAAGGCCCATATATCCAGGGGATCTATGGTAAATGAAACAGGACCCCAGAACTTAGTAGGTCACCAAACATTAGCACAAGTGACACCATGAGAGAAGTTCCATTCAAGCCTTGGAACCCAACATATAGGCAGCAATACCTGCCAAAATGAGAATGTACAATCCATCAAAGTCCATGGTTCTAGGAAAGTCTCTAAATGTACTAGTCTTGGTTTTTGGCTTCTGTAGTTTGCTTCTGGCTAACTATTCTTACTAAATACTAAATGATGTTGTCAACCCAGCATTTATTTTATTTTATTTTATTTTTTGTGCTCAGAAGCTCATTCTGAGAAAGACTTGGGACTGTACTAGGGTCCTGAACAACCAGTTTAGTTGCTGGATGGATAATAAAGACTTTCTGTTTGCTTGAATCTGTCTTTGAATGTTCTTCTCTGCTGGATACCTTATAATGCTTGGCAAGCAGATGGAAAGAAATAATCAGACTCAGGGCTAGTATCAATAAAATAGAGACGAACAAAAAAATCATGCGAAGAATCAGAGGTGGTTCTTTGAGAAAATCAGTAAGATCCATAAACTCTTACCCCAAACTAAAAGACACACAGAGAAATTCCAAGTAATAAAATTAGAAACTAATAGGGTGATATAATAAGAGACAATGAAGAAATCCAGACTAATAAGGACAAACTTCAGAAATCTGTAGTCCATCAAATTAGAAAACATAAAAGAAATGGATAAACTTGTTGATGTATATCACCTACCAAAGTTAAATCAAGATCAGACAAACATTTAAATAGGCCTACAACCTGTAGTAAAATAGAAGCAGTAATTAATGCTTTACTATTCCAAAAAACCCTCAAAAACCAAAAACCAAAAACAAAAACAAAAAAACCACCACCACCACCACCACCACCAACAACAACAACAACAAAAAGTTCCGGGCCAGATGAGTTCAGAAGAGAATTGTACCATATTTTTATAGAAAAATTAATGCCAATATTCCTCAAATTATCCCACAAAATAGAAACAGAAAGAACATTGCCTCATTCTGTTTATGAGGCCACAATTACCCTGATACCTAAACTAGATAAAGATCCATCAAAAAAAAGTATTGCAGACCAATTTCCCTTATGAACAGAGATGCAAAGAGGCTCAGTAAAATACTTGCAAATAGAATCCCAAGAGCACATCAAAAAGATCATCTGCCATGATCAAGTCGGCTTCATCCCAGAGATGCAGGGATCATTCAACATACATAACTCAATAAATGTCATCTACTAGATATTCAGACTGAAAAACAAAAACCACCTAATCATCTCATTAGATGAAGAAAAGGCCTTTGGAACAAATCCAATATCCTTTCATGATAAAATCCTGGAGAGACTATGGCTACCAGGGACATATGTCAACACAACAAGGGCAGTTTACAGCTAGCCCACAGCCAGCATCAATCTGAATGGAGCACAACTCAAAGCATTTACACTAAAATCAAGAACAAGAAAGGATGTCTACTCTTTCCATACCTAGTCAATAAAGTACTTGACCTCTTAGCTAGAACAATAAAGACAACTGCAGCAACCAAGGGATACAAATAGGCAAGGAAGAAGTAAACATATCTTTAGTTGCAGATGATATGATAGTATACATAAATGATCTTAAAAATTCTACTAGGGCCGGGTGGTGGCGGCAGCGGCGGCGGCGGCGGAGGCGGTGCACGCCTTTAATCCCAGCACTCAGGAGGCAGAGGCAGGAGGATCTCTGTGAGTTCGAGGCCAG